CTGGGGTTACTATATGGGTTATACGGGTTAGTAACCTACTTACTAAATCCCCCTAACCCTCCAAATAGTCTGCAACCTAAACCCTAAACCCTAAACCCTGAGACCGGCAGGGGCCTTCCCTGCCACAGCCATTTTGCCGTGTGTAGCAGCTCAGCCAAGAATCGACGACGCCGATCACAAGGACATCTAGGGTTAGATCCAAGGGCGCAGTCGGGTTGAAAACCAAATAAGCCTCAAGATTTTCACGGGCCATACGACTTAGTCTGGTGGGTGTTTTTTTTTTTACATGTACTTCTATACCCAAAACTTGACTCCTACTAACCAAAATAAAGCCCAGGTATAACCTTTAAAACGAAAGGCGCAACTTAACAGCACCGCCAATCTGTGTCCTAGCCAACCATTCAACTCCTTCGATGCGGACTGCTGCCCCCTCACTGGCTTTGAGATCGTCGACGGCTCCTGGCAGGCTGTGCAAAATCTACGAAGGAATTCAACTAAAATTACCATAGTAACGGAACCTTGTCAGTTGGTATATATCCATATCATAGGAACTTGAGCTAAGTTCCCCAACTAACAGCTCCGAAATCTTGCTCGAAGCCTTCCTATGGAATCTCGGATATGCAGAATACGCGAACTCGCAACAGTGGCATTCAATTCAATTGATGGCTGCCATGCCCCGTGGCCCCGCTCTTTTGTGCGCAGATTCAGTGCGCGCTTGGCATGTTTGGTTGTTGACCCACAATGCAAACATATGCAAACACGCTGTGCAAGTCATTCAAAAACCCGACATGTTTCAAACCCCTTACTTTTGTAGAAGTCCACATAACTAGCCGTAGCCCTAACTTCAATTCTCAACGCCATGAAAGCTCACAAATGCAGTCCTGTTTGATGCGCTTATCCTGATGGAACCGCACATGCTTACGCATGTGTGGTCGCGCTTTACTTTCCAGGCTGCAGCTTAACTAAGGGCCTGGCACGGCATAGCTGCAGTAGCTGTGGTTGCGGTCTATGGTGCTGCACGCAGGCCACAATCTCTACGTGAAGGTCACTCAATGCCAGCAAGGCCCTACCTGACCTTCACTGTTGATTATCTTTAATTGACCCTTACCACTTAAGCATCCATCCGTGCTTCCACTTATGAAAACATTCTAGCTTGCGGTGGATGCCGAGCGCTGACACAAAACCGCAGGCGCAAGCCAGATGCGCGCCGGAACGCAGCTGGCACTGGCCTTCAACCTGGGCTTGGACAGCAGCTTCTTGCATGGCGTGGAAATGGAGCCGCGCGTGCGCTCTGCTGGGTCCACCTGCCTTTGAACAAGGTGATCAAGAACGTTGTGATATCACCGCTGAACTGGTATGGGTGTAGCCCAATCAACACTTCGCGCAGCAGGACCCCGCTTGACTGAACGTCTGATTTTTCCGCACGTGGGTTGTTGGTAAAGCGCACAAGGACCGGTGGAGCAGTGTAGTGGGGTGTGCAAGTGCTTGTCAACTTGTGCACCTTGACATGTTTTGGCGGTGCCGAAAATAATGACTTTGATGATGGCGTGCTGGATGTCGCGCTTTTTCGAAAGCATCAGGTTCTCAGGCTTTAAGCCACAGGGGCAAATTCTGTTCCTGCAATAGACCGCAGTGCATGCATCACTTCTTTGAAAAGAAACATGGATTTTGCGGGCAAGCTGTTCCTGTGCTTGCTGCTGTCGGATGAAGATATCCCCGAGAATGCTGGATTTCTTGGTGATTCCAGGTGTGCATGGAAAGGAGACAAGCATCCTCCAAGAGGTGAAGGAACCGGTCAGAATCCGTTTCAGCGCGAGGGCAGCGACAGTACGCGGAATTCTTGGGCTGGGGTTGCCAAGATCACATTCCCATATTCATGAGTTACAAGCAATACACAAGCCCCGCCCCCTCTCCCCCCCAATGACAAAGGATACATCTTGCAATAAGTCTAAATCATAAGCCCTCCATCATTCACAGACCAGAACGATAATTTGGACATCGGCAGTTCTCAGTCTAGTTTGTTCTTTTCGCCAAGGACAGGCGTGGTCTCACCATCATTTGTTTGGGTTCTAGGGTTGAGGCCAATTCTCTAAATCCTCTCTACTTAGCCCACATTACCCTAGGAAGAAAAAGGATCCTTTTTACAGAAATAGAAGGACTCGCATAACCCAAAAGGCATATAGGATCCCGGACATTGATCCACTCTAAGCCCTCTGAGAGCTAGGAGTAGCCCTAAACCCTAAATCCCAAAACCCTAAATAGAAGTTTCCATTTTCTCTTCCATTATCCCTATATAATCCCTATATAAACCCCTTTAAAGGGACCACAATGTTCGAAGCCTATAGATCCTCTTAAGTAGATAGAAGATGGGGTTTAGGGTTTAGGATTTACGGTTTAGGATTTAGGGATATAATAGTCCTCCTTTAGTACAATATTGGAGGTCCCTTTCAAGGGGGTATTTAGGGATTGTAGAAAGGATAAGGGAAAGAGAATGGAAACTACTATTTAGGGTCTTGGGTTAAGGGCTTATAGGTGCCTATAAGTAGATAGAATATGGGGTATATGTGGATCTTATTATGATATACCCAAAGCCATATCTCTGAACCCAGGTTGGGGTTCTGGGAGATAGCGGGCGTATAGCCCCACTGGTCGCAATCCATTATCCCATGAGCTACATATGTATATATATATATATATCCCTATCTCCCTCTACAGGATCCATACAACCCACCTACAACTACCTATGAACATCCAAGTCCGGCCTGTAGCGCCCCCAAGCCCTAAACCCTAAACCCTGAATTCTAAATGATAGCTTCCATTTCTCTTCCATTCCACTTATGTAACCCCTACTATATAATTCCTTTATTACCCCCTTAAACTCTGCACTCCTCTTCCTGCAATTCACATTGTTTGGAAGGTCAAAGAGGCCTCCTAAACCGCAAGCCCTACTTACTAAGTACCCTAAACACTAAACCCCAACTCTAAACCCTAAACGTCTCGACTCCTCTGCCGCGGTGCTGCCCTCATCGGCCAAGCCTTCCTTTGACCTGGCCGCAGGGATTTGGAGGACTTCGGGTTTAGGGTTTAGGGTCTGGGGGACTTAGGGTTTTTGTAACGGGAGTACATAAGGAAACCTTGAGCCCTAAACCCCGACACTGATCCTAAACCCTGACCCTAAACCTTGACCCTAAAACCCAAACCTAGAACTGTGTGTGCCAGCGCCCCAACTTTGCGGCATGGAATGATGACTTGGCTTTTGGGTATGTTGCTATAGCCATGATCAGTTATAATCTAGGGACTTTAGGAGGGATCCCTAATACGGACCTTTAATCCCATCACCATATATAACCCTTATATAGTCATTATGTAACCCTTATATCCCTAGGTAGTCCCCATATTAGAGGGACCGCCAGATTTGGTTCGGGAATCGACCGAAGCTTTTGAAGCAAGTGAAGCTAGTAGCTTCGGAGCTTCGCCCTTCGCCCCCTAAAAATGAAGCAAG